GTTTGTTTGTTCAATATGTTGTCTAATTGACTCAGCCATTTTATTGTATGGCACAGTTATTTTCCATTGTTATGTTGTCATCCATATTATAAATATACAACTTATCCATTCTCTTTTGATGAAAATTAGAGTTGTTTTAATTTTAATTTAATCTGAATAAAGTTTCTATGAACATTCCTAAACATGTTTTTGGTGGATATATGTACTCATTTCTCTTGAGTATATACTCAGGAGTGAGTCACAGCTTTAGTAAATACTGCTAGTTGTTGTTGTTGTTGTTTTTAAATTTTTTTAATGTTTATTTATTTTTGAGACAGAGAGAGACAGAGCATGAGCAGGGGGTGGTCTGAGAGAGAGAGGGAGACAGAGAATCCAAAGCAGGCTCCAGGCTCCAAGCTGTCAGCACAGAGCCCATCGCAGAGCTCGAACTCACGGACCGTGAGATCATGACCTGAGCCGAAGTCAGACACTTAACTGACTGAGCCACCCAGGGGCCCCAATACTGCCAGTTTTCTAAAGTGGTTCTATCAATTACATGCCCACCAGCAATATATGATACAGCCACTATGGAAAATAGTAGGGTGATTCCTCAAAAAATTAAAAATAGAACTACCATAGGACCTAGCAACTTATACACAATGGAATATGATTCAGTCATAAAAAAGAAATCTTGTTATCTGTGACAGTATGGATGGACCTTAAAGGCATAATGGCAAGCAGAGAAAGAAAAAATGCTGTATAACCTCACTTATCTGGAGAATCTAAACAAACACACAAGCAAATGAACAAGCTCAAAGACATAAAGAAGAACTTGAGGGGCACCTGTGTGGCTCAGTCAGTTGAGCGGCCAACTTCAGCTCAGGTCATGATCTCGCGGTCCATGAGTTCAAGCCCTGCGTCAGGCTCTGTGCTGACAGCTCAGAGCCTGGAACCTGCTTTGGATTCTGTGTAACCCCCTCTCTCTCTGCCCTTCCCCCACTCATGCTCTGTCTCACTCTGTCTCTCAAAAATAAATAAATGTTAAAACAAATAAAAAAAGAAAAAAGAAAAAAAAATTGGTGGTTGCCAAAGGCAGGACACAAGGGGTGGACAAAATGGGTGAAGGAAGTCAGGAGATAAAACCTTTAGTTATAAAGTTCCAGGGATGTAATGTACAACATGGTAACTATACTGTGTTGTGTATTTGGAAGTTGCTAAAAGAGTAAATCTTAAAAGATCTCATCATGAGGGAAAAAAAGGGTTTTTTTTTAAACATGTATGGCGATGGATATTAACTAGACTCATTTATTGTGATCATTCCACAATAGATAAAAACATCAAATCATTATGTTGTCCAGCTGAAGTTGACATGTATATGTCAATTATACTTCAAAAAAAAAGGTTGTTAAACGTTGTAATAGCCTAAGAAGGCAAGCATAGCAAAATGATTCACATGAGTAAATTTAGTTATTATTCATAGAATTGCTAGAAATAAAAGGATAACCAAAAAAAATAACTGTTACTTGACCTTTTTTCCAGCAATTTTTAAATTGTACATATTAACAGTTTGATAGATTTGTATTTTTATTCATACGCAATTATGTCATATGTGAATGACAATTTTACTTCCTCCTTTCCAATCTTTATAAATCTTTTATTTCTTTTCCTTGTCTTATTATACTAGCCAGCACCTCCAATAAAATGTTAAAAAAAAAAATGGTGATAATGAACACACTTGCTTTGTTCCTGAACTTGGATGGGTGGAGGGAAGCATTAAATATTTAATCAATAAGTATGATGTTAGATGTAGGACTTTTATAGGTACAAAAATCCCTTCTATTTCTATTTTAATGAGTTTATCATGAAAGGGTGTTAAATTTTGTCAAATTATTTTTATGTGTCTGTTAAGAAGATCACAATAGTTTTTTTTTGTTCCATTACAGTGTTGAGTTATAGTAATCAATTTTGAATATTAAGCTACCTTACATTCCTAGAATAAACCTTACATTTCATGATATATTACAATTTTTATACATCATGGGATTCAGTTTGTTAATATTTAAGATTTGTATATTTGTTTATGGTATCTCTTTTTTTATAATGGCTGTGTTGGGCTCTAACCTTATAAAACAAGTGGGGATGTTTTCCTTTCTTTTCTATTTTCTGGGAAAGTTTGTGTTAAGAATGGTAATATTTCTTCCTTTAGTATGTGGAAGAATTTATCAGTGAAGCCAAATGAGCCAGGCATTTTCCCTGCAGAGGTTTTAAATTAAGGATTCCATTTTCTTTCTTTCTTTCTTTTTTTAATGTTTTATTTTATATTTGAGAGACAGAGGGAGAGAGAGAGAGAGAGAGAGAGAGAACATGAGCAGGGGAGGGGCATAGAGAGGGAGACACAGAATCTGAAGCAGGCTCCAGGCTCTGAGCTGTCAGCACAGAGGCCGATGCAGGACTTGAACTCATGAGCAGTGAGATCATGACCTGAGCCAAAGTTGGACGCTTAACCAACTGAGCCACCCAAGCGCCCCAAGGATTCCATTTTCTTAACACATACTGGACTATTCAGATTACCTAATTCTTCCTATATTGGTTTTGTTAAGATGTTCTTCAAAGAATTTGTTCACTTCATCTAAACTGCACAAGGTATTTTTAAAATATTCTTGTTGTTTTACTATCTATAAGAGGGGCTGCCCTGCCTGGCTTAGTCAGTAGAGCATGCAACTCTTGATCTCAGGGTTGTAAATTTAAGCCCCACGTCGTTGAGTGTACAGGTTACTTAAAAATACAATCTTAAAAAAGAAAAAGAAAAAGAAATATAGTGATACCCCTTCTCCATTCATCGTACTGTGCATCTGTGTTTACCTGCATACCTACCTATTTTGTGAGCAGTTAGGAAAAAATGAATCTAAGGCTCTATCAATTTTACCAATCTTTTTTTTTTAATCAGCTCTTGGCATTTTTAATTTTCTCTATTATATATTTTGTTTCACTGATTTCTGGTAATACCTTGAAGATGATGATGATGATGATGATGTTCGCAGTTAAATCTATCCACTAAGTTCATAATTCAATTATTGTGTATTAGTTGTAAACCTGCCATTTATTTAACAGTTTTGTTTTCTGGAGGAATTGTCAAGCTTTTTCTGTTGTTTTCTAAGCATATAACAACAAGGTAATTTTAAAGTCTGCATCTGATAATTCCATTTCCCAGATTCCCTATGGGGAGTCTGTTTATATTGGTTGTTATTTCTCTTGATTTTCGATGTTATCTTATTTCCTCATGTAGCCGGTATGAGGATGATTTATAAATAGTTGGAGCAGCTTTAGGTTTACAGAAAAATTTAACAGGAAGTATAGAGTTCCCACATAGTCCCCCTTTCACAGTTTCCTCTATACTATTAACATCTTACATGGGTGTGGTACATTTATTAAAATTAATGAGCCAATTTTGAAACATTATTATGAACTAAAGTCCACAGTTGACATTAAGTTTCACTCTTTGTGTTGTACAGTTCTACAGGGTTTTTTCCCAAATGCATGATGTCATGTATCCACTATTATGATATTATACTGAGTAGTTTCACAGCCCTACAAAACTTCCTGTTCTCTACCTATTCATCCCTACTCCCACAACCCCTGGCAACCATTGGCATTTTTTTCTGTCTCCATAGTTTTGCCTTTTCCAGAATGTCATATAGTATATAGGAATTATACAGTATATAGTCTTTTCAGACTGGTTTCCTTCATTTAGCAATATGTGCTTAAGATT